TCACCTGAATCTGACAATCACTGGAGTACTTGGCTTGTAAATCTCCAGTGGTACATTGCAGAAGAAAGGCTTTCAACTTTGGAATATAATGTGTCCTTTTTACATTCAGGTCATGTTATAAGATTGCATTTTTGCTTTTTGAAGTGAAACAAATGAAGAAAGCAGCTTAAATCTTGATGTAAAGGAAAAGTTTGCTTAATGTCATTTTGTTTATTTATATTTGTATGTGTGCCTACAAGTGCTCTTCTGGAAATAGGCAGAACTAAGAAAACTAGGGGGAAAACTAACCGTAATGCTCTCCTGCTGGCTGTTCAGTGTCACCTAGTTTGTGCAGAGCACTCTACAGATTTCATTGCAATAAATAGAATACTTAAGTAGATTCCTTAGTTACTTGATAGTTTTGGTCTCAATGATATCCATGGGAATGAGATTCCTAAGTAGGATTTAGCTAAAATCACTGCAGATTTGGCTCTATTTCTGTGAGTGCCTTTGTGGCTCTTAGCCTTATTCTGCTGTTCATAAATATATATTGACATCATAGAATATGATTCTGAGTCTCAGATGCAACAGTGAGCACCCAAAACTGCTGCTATATTCCCACCAGAAGATATGACATTCTCAGCAAGCTTAGTTATTGTACATGACAGGTGATCTTTCCGAATATGTTGGTTTTAGCTTGATGAAGCAGAACAATAATTTCAGCTTTATTTGGCTTTTTTTCCCCAGTAAGTTACATCAGTGCAAACTACCATACAACTGCTGTTTTTCAGAGGTTCTGGAGATCTCTGCCCTTGTGAGATTCTTTTTATTTTTATTTCTTTTAGTAGGTACAATTGTCATCAGTGGAAAATAAAAGCGATGGAAACATTGCTATGCTAGATTGTGGAGAATACTTCCAAAGAACAAGGAATTTTCAGTTTACTGAGCATAGTCACGCTTAGGGAATCAGAATGATGTAATCCTCAGAAATCCTGTAGAAAATCAGTGTCCTGAATGAAAGGCATCACTCCCCAACAGGAAGTGTCACCTGGATTTTCAAGCCTTAGTGTGACTGCATTGTCCCAGCATCATTTATTTTGCTTCTTGTGACTGACAAATTTCCTTTGTTGCTGAGACACACATGAGAAGATGATGAAGGAAAAATGGAGAAAAAAGTCTATTTTGTCTAAAGGCAGAAAGAAAGGTAAAGGGAGGAGAAGGCTCATGTAGACACATGTAATGAGCACTACCTGTATTGAGGATCCTGTTTTCATACCAAGACCTTAAGTAAACTTCTTAAAATAAGAGCTTTTTCTCACCATAGTTTGGATAATACATTTAGGCATTAAAAAACCAACCAAACAAACAAACAAAAAAAAACAAATGTAAAAACCTCACTGCTTCCAGAGTAGTTGTAGGAGCCCTGTGCCTTGGAGGAAGTTTTCCAGAGCATCAAAGCCCCCCTTTTTTTCTGTGGTCCTGCATCCATGGTTCCTCAATACAGGACTGGCTCAGGTAGCATTTGATAGCACCTCTCCAGCCCTTATCCTGCTTGCCTCAGTCAAAGGAGGGAGGAAACTAGAAGAATAAATAACTTACTTCTGCTTAACGACCATGGCAGCTATGGTGACCCAGCAGTAGTTCAGGGATGTGCCTGCAGGGCCGTGAAGAGATGCACTGGCAAGCTCTTGAAGTGGTAATTTGGGTATGTATAGTACTGCAGTTGAAAAACCAGAGTCCTCCATGGGAGATAGCTGTGTCAGGTCTCGTGAGAACTGTGTTGGATATTGGAGGCTCTTTGAGTTGTTGGAAAAGAAATGGATGATAATACTTCAAGAATTTGCAACCTAGAATACTAGCTTCACCAAGTACTGCTGCCCTACCCGGCTGTTCTGAGATCCGTGTTATCAGCACTCATGTCAGCATGCAAATCCTCATCCTGCCTTCACCCACATTTCACTGCCATCCTTCATTTAGGCCTAGATGAGAAATCCCCATTCCATAGATGAAGGGATGCCCAGTTTTTAATGGGATCACTGTCCTCTCACTTTGTCCTTTGGTCCTGCTCCTGGATCCCACCTTTGTGCCATTCCCAGTCTGCCACTGATTCCCAGGAGCAGAGCCCAGCACCTCCCTATGCTTTTCCTTCTCAGGGAGCTGCAGGGAGGAGTAAGGTACCTCTCGGCCTCCTCCAGAATGAACAGCCCAGTGCACCCACAACCCCTCCTCACAAGACCTGACTTCAGCCCTATTACCAGCTCTATTGCTATCCTCTGAATGCTTCCAAGGACATTAACATCCTTTTCATGTTGTGGGGAACAGAACTGCACACAATACTCATCAACCCTAAATTTAGCAGGAGCATCACCTCTTTTGACTGGTAGGCTATGCTGTGTTTGATGATTCCCAAAATGCATTTTTCCAAATGCAATATTTTTTGTAATATTCCTACTGTAGACATTTTAGCTACATGGTTGAAATTAACGTGAAGAGAAAAAGGCTGCCAGATGCAGTCTGGACATAATGCACGAAAATCACAGAGCTGGCTAGATAAGAGAATGTAGAAATGCTTAATTGCAGTTAGAATGATCTCCAGCGCAAGAGTACAAGTGAATCTTTTCACGACCTTGCCAAATGAAGGAAGCTTTGAAGCCACGTTATCAAAACTGGAGATTACTAATCAAGAACTGCAGTTAACAGCTGGGCTTGGTTCAGCATTCATCTTTCAACATTTACTACTCAGCACGGGGGCTCCGACAGATGTTGAGATGGATTCACCCCCTTTGGCAACTGACAAGGAAAGCATTCACTCATCTTAGTGTCAGATGGGATAGAATGGTTTTATTTAGAGTGTCTGATAAGACACTATGTTTTGGTTCTAGGAGAAAACACACCAATGCTTATAGTTCTGCTAAGCAGAGTTGTACAGAGCCAAGGCCATGTGCAGCAAAGGGCCCAAGGTGCTGAACGGGAGCAGAATTAGGACAGCTGACTTAAACTAACCAAGGGGATATGCCATACCATATGGCATCATGCGAATGGAGTTTTGAAGGGGGTGGGAGTTTATCTCTCTTCTGCTCATGGGAAGCTAGCTGGGCATTGGCTGGGGGGTGGCAAGCAGTTGCTTGTGCATCACTTACTGTATGCATTCATATGTATTTATACACATATGTATATTGTGTACTGTCACATTTATTTTCCTGTTCCTTTTTTCTGTCTTAGTAGATAGTTTTATCACAACCCATGACTTCTACTTTGTTTATTTTTCTTCCCAGTTCTCTCCTTGGTCCCACTCAGAAAGGGGGGGAAGAGGGAGCGAGCGAATGACTGGAGCTGGGCCATCTGTTGAATTAAACTGTAACAACTCTCCAGCCAGGTGGTCACAGCTGTGCACCTTTGGTGCAGCAGCTATGAGGCAATATGCCACAGCAAATATAAAGGAGTATTCAGTATACACAGGGCTTCTTGTAAATGAGCATTGAGAACTTCCCATGAGTGGTAAATGCCTCGAAGTCACAGGAGATGTATGACACATTATAACGTCAGGCCTGTCTAAGAAGACAATTTATCGGGAAGTCCCATTGGCTGCCACAGCAACAGACTATGAAGAACCAGGGGGAAGTGAGATGCAGGGAATGTAAATGATATCTTTATTGCTTGTCAGAATGTCAAACATCTACTTTTTTATGGATTTGGGCACTAGCTACTTGTATTTTTGTTTCCCTATATTTCTTTTTTTTTATTGTTTTGGCCTAAGTATTTCAAGAAAAAGGCATTTTCCTCATGATCTAAAGATGACTGGCAGTCTCAGATGTGCTTGAAAGGCACCTGGACTGCCTACTTGTTCATTGTAGGTGAAAAAACTATTTGATTATAATTATTTCTTAAGTTTTTAGAGATAATACTTTTTTTTTTTTTTTTTTTTTTTTTTTTTTTTTTAGATTTTGGGCAGTAAAATCTAATTAAATGCTTTTTTTTTTTTTTTACTTTTGAAGAGTTTTAGATTATGTTCACAAACCTTGGCTATACTGAAGTGTGAGTATGTGAAATGATACACTGGAAAAAGCAATGGGGTGTGCCCTTTTTATACAGCACTTCTTTAAGATGTTTAATACGTACACAATTCCTTCCCTGGAATAATAACATCAACTTCCCTAGTAAAAAAAAATCAATAGAAAAAAAAAAGAATAGAACTGTTGCAAACTTTGATGCTCAGTTGGTTACCTTTTATTTTCTGCTACAATTAGCCAAGATTTCCTATATACGTTTTACTAACTTCATCATTAGAAGACTAAGATAAAATTGGATTCTTTGCTCAGAATCAGTAAATTATATGAAGTTGGTTTTTAAGATTATTTGTTTTCATATGCTTATAACTCCCCTGCTACACCATTGAAAATTAATAACTATACATACAAATGATCAGGAAAAAAAGATTAGTGTAGTGATATCTTACTTTTTCAAGTTAACACTGAGATGAAGAGAGTGGGATAGGTAATCTCTCCAATTGTAAGTCTGAGAAAACAGGGAGATAGTGGTTGCAGTGTTACAGGGAGTGTGTCCTGCACTGATGCTATAGATTAAGAAAGAGCTGCTACAGCCATGCCCTCACACAACATTTCTCCTAAACCCTAGAAGGATGCAGTCCTCAGTATTTATTTAGTGACCTCCAGTGAAACCAGTACAGCTAATTCAGTGTTGATAACATTCTTTCTTTTGATAGATGTTTACATGATCTGTTTGGGAAAACTCACTTTCTGCTTGTTTTCAGCCACATCTGTACCAGATTGTACGGAGGCTGAGGGATCTATACTTTTATTTCAATGTATATTGCAACATTTTTATTGCATTCCACAGGTCCTCCAGTAAACGTTACTTGCAATATTTTTATCAACAGTTTTGGATCAGTCACAGAAACCACAATGGTAAGTGCTATGATGCCATTGGCAAGAGAACAACAATACTTAATATATGTCATGAACACAACCTGTCAATTTTTCTATTTATTGTTCAACTTGCAGGTCCTCCTGTAAATGTTACCTGCAACATATTTATCAACAGCTTTGGTTCAATAGCAGAAACTACAATGGTGAGTGGGACTGGTCATTGAAGCCATCTTGTGAAGGAGTGGGATGTGATGTAGAATAGAGATGCTCTAGATGTGGGAACGCTTATTAAGTTCTTAAATATACTAATTTCAGCTAAATTAAAATATAAGTTTTATAAAATAACTTTATTTATAAAAACCTGTTGAACTCAACTATCACATCTTAATATATATCTGTAGTTGCCCATAGTCTGTATTGACTGTGATGGCAGTAACTACAGGCATGCCCAAGGCAGTTTTCCCAGATGTTAGCACTGCAAAGGCAGAAAAGTTGCTGGAATTCAGCTGTGGGGCTGCTTGCCAAGGGCTCAGTGTTTGAGTGGTTCTACAATCCTTGCTGAATTATCTGCTGCTGCAGACTGGGCTGACAGAAATACCTGAACCGTCTCATTTAACTTAGCTATATCTCTGAATTTAGAAATCACATTGGTAACTCAAGTAAATGCACAATATAGCTATGAGTAGACTTCATTATTTGCAGGGCCAAAATCATACTAGAAAGTGTTGGGACTGCAGATGATGAAAATTTTTATTTTGACTGAATTCAAACACTATCAGCCATACAATAACTACCAAAGTCAAAAATTCATTTTAATATTTAAGAAGCTAAATAGTTAAAATTCTCAATTGAAATTATTATTTCAATATGAGATAAGATTTTTAAAAATTGCTGAAGTTCAGGATTAAAGAAATAATAAGAAAAAGAATGGTGGTGACAATTGCTGTCTAATTTTCTTTTTTAGTCTGAAATCTAAAAAAGCTAAACTTTCATTTTCTTTAATACTTGCTGAGGAAAAGCAAATCCAAGTGCATGTAAGAGTGGTTACTTACTCAGGCACACATGCACCTGACTAATGAGTTTAATACTAAGAACTTTTTTTTTTTTTTTGTGGTTCTCATATAATGTGATAAAGATATAGTAATTACCAGGTGCGTGTGTATGTGTGTTAAATCCATTCTCTAAAAGACCTCGCAACAGATCCCAGTTTTACTTTATATTCTTTAAGTTTCCTCTTCCATAAAGTAATCTAAACAGAGAGTTGCCACCTTCACTGAAATTTTGCAAGAGTTATGCACATTGCCTCAGGGCACAATGTTCAGGCCTTCCTCTTTTTTTTTTTTTTCTTTTCTTTTTTTTTTTTTTTTCTTCCCTTTTAAAGCCAGAGTCAATAAATGTAGGACTGCAGGACTGAGTTCTTGTTAAAGAAAAATAAACTTGTTACCTACTGAAGTTACAGCAAAGAGCTGTTTCCTACTATAAAATAAGATAAATATTGGCTTGAAATAATTGCCTTCTGAAGGAAGAAAAGATATTTTGTCTAATTCAGGCATTTTAACATTAAAATACTTTATTCATATGTAATTGCTTGAAAAAAATCTACAGCAGTTATTTAATATTTTCTAGAGGAAAAAAGGCAAGTAGTTACTAAAACAATTTGCTTTCTTAAATAGTGTAGGAAAGATTCTTCTATAAATGACACAGCTATAAAATACATAGTTAACAAGTAAACAGAGAACAAAGTTTTAGAATATGTAACCATAGCCTTTTAAAAACAACTTAAAATAGAACTAAAACCAAGTTAAGTTTTATATGAAAACTCCCTTAACCTTTATTTAAAATAATTATCAGCAGACAGAATTTTGAAAACTTTGCTTTCCTATGTTTAAAGAGTTTGAAAAGACAGATATGAATGTAGACTTTTTTATCTAGCTGTGTCTATTGATCTTAAGATGTAAAGACATTAGCATAGCTTTAAGTAGCAAAAAAATCCTGCACGTCACTGGCTTTACAAGATGGCATTCAATGAAAATATTTGCACGACCTAATGCTGATTGCATTAATTAGACTCCTTCATTGCTTTGATTAAATCCCCTCATTGCATTTTACCGTCTATCAAATATGTTAATGTGCACCTTTTCAATGTTCATTAACACATTCTGCTGAAAACAGCTAAACATTCAAGTTGATAAAAACAAAGACTGTTGGCTTTCTTATTTCGCTTTGTTCGTGATGCTGGAAAGTGTGGAAAAAGTTCTCTTAGATATTGTTTGGTACTTTGATATTCACTTTCTTAATGCTGTAACTTCTTTAGAGACAAAGTGACTAGTTTTAGGATGTTTAAAAACTGGTCCGAGAGGCAGACATCAATTGCTGTTGCAGCTACTTTGTTTTTCTGAAATAAATACAATTGTGGTAAAAATGTTGGCATCCCTTGTGATAAACAGTGAGTTTTGTTTGACCTCAAGGATTCTTTTTCCCTATAAAATGCACTTGATCATTTTGATCAATAAATAAAAAATTAAATTAAAACCCTGGATTGTCAGTCAAAAAGGGACATTCCAGCCTCAGGGGACAGGGATGCTTAGTGAAACTGCGTATATATACTGAAGGGAGGTTGTCAAGATATAACTTTGAAGAGCTGCAATAGCTCACTGGAAACCTTGGGAAATGAAAACTTGTTTAGAGAGGCTTTCAGCAGGAGGAACATGGCAAACCGGATTACAGTCCCATACCTACTAAATTCATTCAGTTCTCAATAATGTTAGCAGGAGTATCTTCTGTTTTCTTGTTAGGATAGACACCAGGAGTACATTTATCCCTGTGTGAATAGCTAGCACAACTCATGCATTTTCTTCTAAAAGTTAAAACCTATTTAACTGAGGAAAGAAACAGAGTTGTGCACTGACTCTCTTCAAAAAGGTTAACCACTGTCTTCATGAGTTTGGCTCCCAAAGATTTACAGAAACAAAATGCCAATGTGTGAGACTCTCTGCACTATTATATACAGGTGGGATAGTATCATGATTTATTTTGATTTGTTCCAAAAGCAAGTTTCTTCCACATTAAAATGATGTATATTATACCAAACCAAAATATTTAAAAGGCCAGACCAGAGTCAAGATGGAACTGTTGGAAATTTTCTTTATTGATCCACATGTCATCATTTAAACTTTAATTTGCAAAGAAAGGGGGGAAAAAAAAAAGACATTCCTGTGTAACTTCACAGAATAAAGTGATTGTGCCAGTAAGCTTTATATCTAATTTTAGAAGCATTCATAAACACAGTATTCAGCAGAAAATTCCGTGTTGTTGAATATCACAGATGAGTAATCTGCATCAGGCTGGGCAAAGTCCCAAAATATTCAAATGTCCAGTGTCACTAATGACCAGGATATTTTAGCTATCAGCTGTAGGAGAAGCTAAGAGCAGTTCCTACATTCATGAGCTAATGGTTAATTACAGAAATGACTAACTGTGGGGACATTTTTACTGTAGTTACGCCCTGTAATCAGTGACTGAGTATGCAGCAGGTTCTCTGTTGGGATAAACATATCAAACTCCATTTTAGGGAGAAAAGATCTTAGCTGTGGCTATGTGAATGATATTCCCATTAGAAAACATACATTGCAAATCAATTTATTAGATCCCAATTTTAGCAAATGAGCAATTTGCATACACAGTTTAAACTGCACAAAGGACTCCCACTGATGTCACTAGGGACACCCGACATACTCAGGTGTCTAGTTAAGCAAGATCTTTTCTGTTATGGCCTTGAAATAGATTATTAGAACACTATTATTCAGCTAGCATTCATATTTTGCACTTGGAGAGAAAATAGTCTCTCTGGTCAGCCACTCCTATGTCTGCAAGACCAGCTAAGTTTGCTGTTAGCATCAGGCATCTGACTTAACACCTGGGGTACTAATGTGATTGAAGGGGAGGATGGGAAGAAAGATAAAATCAAAGAGGAGTAAGTCCAAAGCATGTTTGGAGACAGAAAACAGCACTGAAAGGGGAGTGGGGCTTCCCAGCACTCCCTGTCAAAGTAGTGCCTGAGGCTAAAGGACCACAGAGCTTTGCTGGAGGCTTGGAGGGGGAACCTGGGGTCTGTGGAGCTGATATCCTTAACTTTGCCCAGCCTGAGGAAAATAGAAAACATTTCTCTCTAGACTTCTGTAACAGAACTTAGTATATGTGGACTGAGTCCCTAAATCTTCATATAAATCTAATTAAACTGCTCAGAAGAATATTTCTTTAGTGTATTAGCATTGTCCTGGTCTTATGGCTTGAGAACAGAGGAAAACTCTTTATCTGAGTTGCCTTGAGCTATCACTGGCGTCAGTACTGCAACTGAGATTGAAAATTCAGGTCCACACTTCTCATTCAGAGCAGTGGTTCTGTCAGAAAGGATTTGTGGAGCAGGTGTACTTGTGGTAGTGTAGGAGTGCATTACTACAGTCCTCCTACTCCTACCCTCAGGAACTCGCAAAACACACACCATAGGCTGCCTGAGCTCCATGTTGAGATATCATCCTCAGGAGAGTTTTTCTCTGGGAGATAGTTAAAGTGTTAGCACAGGAAAAGTAAATTCAAAATTCTACACATGATTACATCTGACTGTGTAAATGCATGTCCCTCCTGGCTGCTTATTCCACAAGCAGAAGAGGAAAAATATAATCATGGCTTTATGGTGTGAAAGTTATATTTCCATTTTTAATTTCTTATTGACATATTTTTATATATACATAAATAAGCATATGTTTATAGATAGTGAAGCCATTCAGAGAGCAACAAATGTTTCAGTGCTGTTTTCTTTCTAACAGCACAGTCTGTAGTGAAAAAAACTCTTTGAAGTGTATCGGTATGATGGCTCTAATATATTTATGAAGGTGTATGCTGAAAAATATCATACAATCCTACTGGCATTATTTATGCTTTTGGTATAATATATATCATATGTAAGCCCTCCTACAAATAAGGATTTTCCTGACTCGCTTTTGTTTGCTAAATCACCAACTGCAGGAGTTCATGAAAGAATATTTATTTTTAGATATTTCTTTGCAATTTGCTGACTTGACTGATTTATGATTTCTGTGTCATGGGTGAAGAAATACCTCTGCTTTCCATGGATTTTGTTACGTATCTTATTTCAAATAAACATGAAAAAGTGTTACATGACTAGTTATAATGATTATATAGTATAATTTCATTTACTGATAACACCTCTTGCCTTCTTTTAAGTAGAGAGAAAATAAAAAGTTCTCCTGTCTTCATAACTAAAACTGTCCTATACAAACTTGTAAGACAGTTTCTAAGATCAGGAAACAAAGGCAAATATGCTCAGGGTTGGTGCATTCTTGCAAGATTTGATGATATTTTATAAGCTCAGTACAGCGAGTAACAACTTGATTTTAAACTGTTATGAAACAAAACCATCATAAAGAGCACAATGGCTTGTGACAAATAGTTACGAGCTTTTGCAAGATCTGTAAAAAGCATGCCATTCATATAGGCTGCTATCTGTTCTGTCTTGCTCTGATTAGATGTTTTGATTCACATCTACCCAAGAGCAAAATAGAAATAATGAAGAAAGCAAGAGAATACACATTACTAGTGAAATTGTGAAACATCATCCTATACGTCTCAAAAACTGTATTAGTTTATATGTTAGAAATATTCTGCCAGGGCAACAGCACATTTCATTGTGAATCTACCAAGTGAATGGTGGGAAAACCAAAGGTTGGTGGGCCTCATTCCACAACTCTAATCAGAGTGAGAATATTTGTTTACATTTCAAGGGTGTTTTATATCTGTTCACATTATTTGTTTACATTTCTTTAGACTGATAAAGTTCAGTGCCCTATCTAAACGAGTGTGAACTAATACATTTTCCAAGTCAAAAGCGTAGTTTTGCCATTTTAATGTACTGCAGCTACCCCCAGACAAATCCTAAATGTGAGGCTTTGTACAGTTGATGGGATTATTTGCTAATGTAATTTTTCAGGCAATATAATCTATATAAATATTAATAAATACTTTCCTTTTAGAGTAATAGTAGGTGTATTTTAAGAGAATATTCACAGAATATCTAACTGTGGTAATGTAAGGCAAATGTATGCTATAATTGCAAGGAAAGATAGGCGAAATTATGTTCTTACTTGCTGACTTTGGAAATACAGAGGAGAATGGGCACTAGCAGTTTTCCATTCCCTCCACTGGATTCTGGATTAGACCCTAAAAGCTCTTTTCACACACCCTTTTAATAGCCAGTTCTCAACATGGTGTTAATTCTGGTTCTAAATGAACCTGTATGTAATTGCTGTCTTCCCAGTTGTGACTAACAGACCACTGAGCAGAAGAATGCAATTAGAACAATTTTAAGAGGATACAGGAGAGAGAAGTAAATGAAAGAACGTACAGAGAAAAGCATATGGTGGATGGAAAAAAGACAGAGACAGTAAATAAGAAATGCTGATTTAATTTCTTCTGTACAAATCTGGCTTTGCTGAAATTAACAACTATTCACAAGTACATTAGAAATAATTGATTTACGTATTGGAAATAATTTATTTGAATTAGCAGCTTTATAACAAATTTGTTGAAATTCTATGTAGCTAACCACAGTGCTTTTTAACTTTCCAAATACCACTGGGATAAAACATTGTACTTCTAAGAGAGTTATATTTAACAATGGAGGTTGCAGTTGATATTTTCTTCATAACTGAAGTAATTTTGATTTGGAAAATGTAACAGTTTGTTTGGTTCAGTATGATATTCAGACTGCTTTATTTTCAAATGACAACTCTTGCATCCAAAGGATGGCATAAATGTTTACTATAATGCTGAAATAAGTCTGAACCATAAAGAAAGCTAAAGTGAGCTTCCAGTTTTTCTAAGTGGCTCAATAACCTCTTTACATGGCATTTCTGTAGGACTACAGAGTGAACATTTTTTTGAGACAGCAGTGGAACGATTCACGCCTGGCTTACAGCGAATATCCTGATGATTCCCTGGATTTGGATCCCTCCATGCTGGACTCTATTTGGAAACCAGATTTGTTTTTTGCCAATGAAAAGGGAGCAAACTTCCATGATGTCACAACAGACAATAAGCTGCTAAGGATTTCTAAGACTGGAAAAGTGTTGTACAGTATCAGGTAAACCAGTTAACTTTATTTGCTCTTCATCCCATTCCTTCCTCTTACTCCCTGTTTTTTTCTAGAGGTAGCTAGGCTTGGAGAACACAATTTACATATTTAATTTTTTATTATCCATGTGTACAACCAAAACAAGATTTAATCACAGCAGGATAGAAGGAAAATTTGCCTGCATTCCTTTACTAAGTCTCTTAGTTCTCACAAGATAGTAAGTTGCACAGTGGTACTTTCTAGCCTTGCTGGAAACTTTATGTTGTCTACTACTTTACTGATATGCCTCAGGAATTCCCATCAGCATTATTAGCTGAAGTCACTCCTCTTACAAAGAAAAAAAAAATACCAACTCTTCCATAGTTTGTCAACTGCAATTCAAAAATAAAGGGTAATGTTATCTTAAGTGGCTACTGAAAACCTGAAGTAAAAATTGGCTTGAAACACAACAAATTTGACACACAAGTCTCAGGGTAATTGGACGTATCTGTTCACAGATAAAAATAATTGGAATTGTGGAAAGCTTTTTTTTTTATACTAAGTGCACTGAAGTGTGTGCCATGTGATTGGATTTAGGCTGAATGGATAAATGCAGTGTGACAAAATACAATTGAATATTATCTGATGAAACGGGACATATGTAAAGAACCAACTGCATTGCAAAAGCATCAAGAACAGCAAATCTGCAATATTTGTTTAATATTCAGCTTACTGTGGGCTGTTAATTTAGTATAAAAAATCATGGTGAAAAACACTGCATTATTGCAACAGTTTAGAAAGATAATATTGTGTTCTGTGTTTTCCTAGGATGCTTTGCAGTCAGTTTCCTGCATGGTGAAAAGTAAACATGGTAGTACCTGTTTAACTGATCTGTTTATTGAATTTACTCACCTATAAGGAAAATCAGCTCTTAAGACTGTAGTTTCTCATCAGGCATTCTGGTTCATGACCAGAATTTTCTCTGAGGAATTATAACTGATCCAGCTTAAGGACAACTGAGTTCTCTAGGATGCTATATTAATAAACAGTAATATAAAATTTCCTCCATTTACTTAATTCCTTTGGAAATTCCTTGATAAGAACTTAACTATGTTTGGATGGATCAATCAGCATGGAACATAAGTGTTTACTGAGCAAGATTTCAAATTAACATACCTGAACAGTCTGAGAAAAATAGTAGCACAGAAGAGTGAGACTAGCACTAGCAGAGTGATAAATATGCTGTCACTTACAAATATTTCTTGTTTCCTTCTCAGAAAGAAATTAATGCAACTGTTTGTTTGAATGACATCAGCCACCATCTTATTGGAGGCAACAGCGCAGCTGAGTGCTGCTCTGAATACAGATGGATAATTTCCCTGACATTTGTTCATGCAGGAAAAATAATATTTCAAGCTGTCATACCACATTTGTAAAATTTCCACTCCTAAATACAAATATGTGAAGTAGAGTAAGCAATATTCCAATGAAGGTCTAAGAAAATCATTCTTACCTGGTGCCTCTAATATGGCATATAATTTTGAGTAATATTTTACAGGGAAGAAAACTTTCTCCAGTACTGAACTTTGAAGTTAGAAGTAATTAGAAAAAATTCTCTATGTGCTGTTTGTCAATTTCTTTTAGTTGTGTTATGCTGAAACAAATAATATTTTAGTGATTTGTTTCAGTGCACTAAGGTTGGTAAAATGTTGCCATTTTCACTCACAAACCAACCAGACCTAGCCTGACGTAATGGTATTTAACTTTTAACATTTAGATGCTCCTAATGTTTAAAATGCTTTTAACACACATCTGGGAAGTAACATTGTGGTCTATTTTGTCGTATGTTCAAATTTAATAAAAGCAAGGGCAAATTTGTCTTGTATACATGTAAACCACCGTCTCTACTAAATGAGTTTAGAACAACTCCCTGCAATAACTGGGTAAGAACTGGGGTGCGGGTATTATACAGCAGCAGCATTCATCTTCCCTTTAGACTTCATCTGAAAGTGGAAATATACTCTCTTAGAGGCATGCGTGGCTTATGCTGCTAAATGCCATGAAAAGCAAATCCTGCCCTTTCTGAGAAGAATTTGGACCTAATATGATCCTTATTTTACATTTGGTGTAGGATATATGTGCTCAGGTAATTTACTGCAGGATCACAGAGGGTTTAGACCTGCGTTACCTCCACCACAACACATTGCTTTTGGAATTCTTTTGTAGAATCATAGAATCATTGAAGTCAGAAAAGACCACTAAAATCATCTAGTCCAACTTTCAACCCATCAGCACCATGCCCACTAACACATGTCATTCATGTCACCCCATTATAAGCAAGAGTCTGTTTGCCTTTCTTTTAGTAAGGCATTATCCATCTTGCATTCATTGGTGATGATAGGCATGACATAGATTTCTGTCACTGTTTTCCACACCGTTGTTAGCTATTATGATCATGGTTGCAGTCTACTAAATCTATTCTCTGGAAGTTGTTATGGAATTAAAGCCAGAGTGGCTGATGTACTCACCTATGAATCATATAAGTAAGTTTAGGATTCTAAACCTATTTTTAGGTATTTTCTGCATGCTCGGATGACTACTTTGGTATTTGTTTTAATCTCAGATATCATGGTATATATGCTATATAAAACCTGAGGCAAGACTGGTACAGAGAAAGAGCTTCTGAGCTTACAATACTTGGAAATGAAGGATATGAGGAACATGAAGGATTATGGAGCTATAGTGATTTAAATCCATTTTCACAATAAAATCTTCATTATTTTGAAGAAAATTTGAAGTTTTAAGGTAGAGGATGACATTTTGCTCCAGACCTAGAAGCTAAATGGCACACAGCCCATGTCTTTAGAGAAAACTAGTCTAAGTCCTTGTGTACTGCAGAGCAGCCAAAAACCTCTGGGAAGGAATTCGGCATTGCTCAATATCACAGATATATACACTTTTGTCCCTAGTGAGGTGACAACAGCTCTTAGAGGTGCATGCATTTTAGAAGTCAGCAGTTACAGTAAAGTTATATTCAGCAAGCAACTGCACTTCAGTCAAGATAAGTCTCAGTGGCACTCTTTGAGCTGCACAGCACTGTTAAATAACTATAGTTTTTGTTTTAAAGCTCTCTGCAGAGAGTGCTCAATGAGAGGGGTTCATTATAGCAGAGTTCAATATAATTGGCTTATGTTGTGTATATACTGAATGCTGAAAAACAATGAGTCTAAATCTCAGCCCACACAGTGTCACCCTCCAGATGCCTGTGACTCATTCCTCTGAGCTCACAACCCTTGAATGATCTCTGCATGGGCTGGATTTTGTAGAAGGACTACAAACTTGGAAAGAATGGCAGTGCTATGTGATGATACTGACAGTCTTGTTCCTGACACTCATATTCTGTATGACACCTGGATTTTGTATTGTATACACTGTTGAACTGATTTTATGTTCCAAGGGCAAGGATCATATCTTCCCTGTCCCACTCTGGGCGGCTGGGACACCAGCAAAATGCTAAAGACCCTCATAGGAGGCTTTGCCTTCTTTTTGAGACACACATTTGTGGTACCCGATTCCCACAAACTCATTTCAGGCTGCCAGAACATTAGCATCTGCTGAAAAGCTTATTTTAGCAAAGTGGATGGAAAGTGGAAGGTGTTTTTTTTTTTTTTTTTCTATTATACATTCATTGCCTCCCTCTCCTTTTAATATTTTCAGTGCATCTTAGTCATATGATCTTGATGCAGAAGGCAGTACTGTAGCACTGATCCATGGCATTGCACCTGCGTTATACTAGCCAGGAAGATAAAGAGGCTGAAACTATTTTTTTTTCTATCAGCTGCTCCACTAAGCACCTTGTATTCCCAGTAGTCATATAAAAGAGAGGCTGTCCTCTGAAATGTAGGGACACTCCATTTAGCCAGAAAGAGTTACAAAACAGATTAGTTCACATTTTTAAAACATGTAAAGAATTTAGAAAATGTTTTTCGTAGTTTGATGAGAGAATCATGTGGAATTTTAGGGAGTTGATTTGAACAAATTCACAAATTATTTTTCTTCGTTATATTCCAAGAACAATTAAATACCTAGGAAGAAATTCCCCAAGTCTTTCAGAGTATCATTTTTTTGGTCTTCATTTATTTTCACAGCATATTAAATTTTGCAGTAATTTAGGAAACTGCTTCTCTATGTTTCAACTCTTGACCCAGATTTGGTAGTTAAATGTTATTATGGATGAAAGCTGTATCTACCAGAGAGCAGCACTGTTTGGTTGGACACCATGAAACAGGAAATACAAGCTGTTGCACTGGTCTCTTTCTGCAGCTGTTCTGGAGGTGATCACTGGACCTCCATATGACAACAAGTAGATGAGGGGATGAGCTGCCACATCCAACAGCCGTCTCCTGCCTGAAGACAGCACATTTACTTGCAATACCGTCTCTTGTGCCACATTACTCAAGTTACCAAAATTGAATCTTTGTTCTGTGGCAGTAGTGCCAATTCACAGAACACTAACCTCCTTAGATGCCCATTACTCTACATGCCATCTTAGGTTATATTAAAAGTTATGGTAACCATACCCCTCATGTAAATCATCAGAAATAATATATAGCACTTGTATTGTTCAGCTTTTCTGAGCAAAAGTCCTGTGCTTTCTAGTCTTCTTTGTCAAGTGCTTTGTCACTGTGCTCTTTGCCCTGTGGGATAGAAGATTCTTTCCCTTCTCATTTGGCAGGTTCAAGTTGGGTATTAGGAAAAACTTCTTCATGGAAAAAGTGGTGAGGCACTGGAACAGAGAGGTAATGGAGTCACTGTCCCTGGAGATGTTCAAGAAACATTTAGATGTTGTACTAAGGGACATAGTTTAGTCAGGAAATATTGGTGGTTGTTGGACAGCTGGACTAGATGATCTAGGATGTCTTTTCCAATCTTGATGATTCTATGAAATGCAAAGCAAACTTAAAAGAAACATAATTAACACAGGCTTTCTCTTCACAATAGACTACTTGTGGGAAAGAAATTCTATAATA